GTGTGTGACAGCCCTCGCCTGGACTCTTCGTGGCCCTAGGAGTCCTGCTGGGGAGCTCACAGAAACCTGGTGGGCATATCGGGGTGTGCTGGTGCACTCCTGTAATCCCAGCACTCGGGAGGCTGAGGCAGGAGGATTGTAGGGAGTTTGAGACCAGCCTGGGCTGTAAAGCTAGCCCAACGTTGGCCTGAACTGCATAGCGAGACTGTCTCAAAAAGACGGAAAAAAAAAAAAAAAAAAGCAAGAAAGCAAGCTGTCTGGTGTGTGCCTCCTCCAGATACATGTTTATAAAATACATACTTCTGGCCTAGGGTGTCTCTCGTGGGTAAGGCACAGAACCCCGGGTTCGGGCCCCCCAGTATTGCTTGCTGCCCCAAGGAAGACGGCTTGGCTGGGCGACCTCCAGGGATGGTAAGACATGTACCCCAAGCCAGGAAGGCCACCACTGATTGGGACAAACAGCCTTCTACACACATCGTAGTACCTCCAACACCCAGACCCCCTGCAACGCCGCACAAGTGCTTGTGGGAAGCGACCAGGTGGCACTGGCTCTGTCCTGGAAACCCTGGCTGGAGAGAAGGCCAGTGCTGGTGCAGGCGGAAGTGGGGGTGGGGGGTCGGGGAGGTAGGGTTGGTAAATCATTCACTTCAGGGAGTGAGAGAAGAGAGGACCCAAGTAGCTGTCACCTCCGAGGTCCTGATTTAAGGGACAGGACCAGGTGGGCATGGTGGTGTCTCTGGAGAAAAGCCAAAATAAACTCCCAGCGCGCCTCAGCCTCCCCAGTGCCCGCGTTACAAGTGTGCGCCACTACACTGGGCCTTTTTTAGAACAGGGTTTGCTATTTTGCACAGGCCGCCCTCAAACTCTCAGTTCTCCTGCCTCAGCCTTCCCAGTGCTGGGGTTACAGTGGGAGTTCAGCCTCATCCGGCAAAAGCCAGGTTTTAGGGTGAAGGACTTAACTACTTCCTGCCCCATCTCCTCAGGGCTCCCGTGGGTCCTGAAGCTGAGCGTGAAAGCACCTCCTCTTCTCTCCAGCGCGTCTGCGTGGCCGGCACAGGCGTGGGCCTGCGGGCACCCCAAAGCGGGGTATCCTTTGCTCATTGGGAAGTAGCCACTGGCTGGCTCGGGAGCATGGCAGTGTTGTGCAATCAAACAACTCGAGCCTTGGGAGGCCACGATTGCTGAGCTGAGGCCGGGCCAGTCAGGGCCTGGCCTGGCCCAAGCCGTGGGGTCCAGTGCTCTTCCCAGTACTGCCGCCCTTCTTCAGTCTCTGTCTGCTGGGCTTAAAACACGCAGGTTTTGCAGCTCATGCAGTGGGGGGACTTCCGGTGAGACACATATAAGCAGAGGCAGCCTGGCTCTTCCTCTTTTTTCTTGCTAGGAGCACAGTGATTTGTGTTGTTGTGTGTAGTAGTAGCAGCAGTGGTGGCTGTGGGAGTATTTTCTGGTTCTGGGATTGATCCCAGGGCCTTTGCCCTGAACTTACCTCCATCCCTTTTTAGTTTTTAAATTTGAGCCAGGGTCTTGTGCAGTTGCCCAGTGTGGGCTCAAACTTGAGATCCTCCTGCCTCAGCCACCCAGAGTACTGGGATCATGGGCTGGGTCTCCAGGCCTGGGCTCAAACTGTTTATTACCAAAAAAGTCTTATTAATTAAGAGAAATTGACAGGTGTAGTGGCAGAGCACTTGCCTAGTGTGTGCTAGGGTCCTGGGCTCCACCCTGGGGGCAGCCAGAAAAAAAAAGAAAAAAAAAGTTGAGGAAAGTGGCTGATTTGAGGGACTTAGGCCCTCGGATGTGTTCAGCTGACACCACCTCTGTCGTTGGTCACCTCGAGGCTGAATCTGATAGTAGACTCCTCAGTGTGACGGGCCCAGCCTGTCTGGGCAGGCGCATGGCAGCCTCGCCTTGGCTCGGAGGTGTCCTCACGGAGACCATAATCGACTGGAAGTTGCTTAATTATCGCTGAGAGCAAGCAGAGCCCCAGCCCTGGCAGCCTTCCACATGCAAGCGTGAACCTAAATCTGTTGCCAGCTCGCCTGGCTTTAAACCGGACAGCTCTGCTCTTGTGTTTGCTTTAGCTCCCCTGTCCGCGCCAAACACCTGTTGATGTTTCCGGCCCAGGTTTTGGCTGTCACAACAGAGCAGGACGTTCGGGAGGCAGGACGTCCCACAGAGCCTATCCTCTCCAAGGCAGCTGGCTCAGGGTGGCTGTGTGGCCACCAGTCTGGCGTGGTGGGAGTTGGCCTCGCCACAGCCTGGGCTTTGTAGTCACTCTCGCAGCGTGACACTCTCTGCCAGGTGGCCCGGCGCTGCAGAAAAAGACACAGCTTCCCAGAAGCGGGAAATGTGCGTGGCCTGCAGCTTTCCCTGGTGGGGACGCTGTGTGAAATCGACTTTCCAGGTTTTCCCCCTAAGCATATGTTACTTCTGTATTCAGAACCCCGAAAAGTAATGCTGGGTGTACACAGTTTGCTGAGCTGAAAAATTGAGAAGCGGGAAAAGGTGCAGGGAGCCGGGTGGAACTGCGGGGAGAGTGTTTCCCTGTCCTGCTTGAGGCCTGGGTTTGACTAGCAATGCAGCCAACCACAGTATCGATGGCTTTGTGGGCAGTGAGATGCTACACTGTACCCCATAGAACCCCACACTCACCGAGTGTCAATCCAAGTAAAGATAGAATAAAAGCTGGCCGCACCTGGTGGCTCACTCCTGTAATCCCAGCACGTGGGAGGCTGAGGCAGGAGTATCGCCACAAGTTCAAGGCCAGTTGGGGCAACATAGTGAGTTCAAGAGCAGCCTAGACTGCTGCAAGATCCTGGCTCAAAAACAAACAAACAAACCACACCTTTTGTTAAAGATCAGATAGCCAATCTTGAAGTAGTATTTAAAATAGCAAAATGATTTACAGTCAAATCAGTGCAGATGATATTTACATAAAGGTTTTAAAGTATAAGACATATGTATTGTTTAGGGTTATACACATGGAAATGCTCCTTTCAATAGAACAGGTACTTTTCTTTTGAGACAGGGTCATGCTATGTAGCGTAGGCTGGGTTTGAACTCACTGCGATCCTCTGGCTCAGCCTTCTGAGTGCTGGGATCACAGGTGTGTGCTACCGCACCTGACCTCAAGTCTTATTTTTATTTTCTATTTATGTATTTAAAAAAATTTGGTTTTGTCTTTTTGAGACAGGATCTCCTTATGCAGTCTAGGCTGGCCTAGAGCTCTTTGTAGCCCAGGCTGGTCTTGAACTCACAATGACCCTCCTGCCTCAGCCTCTCAAGTGCTGGGATTACAAGTGTGCGGCACCACACACAGCTTCAGGTCTTATTTTTAAACTAGGCGTTGAGCACCTATCTGAGCATTTGTTATAGTGCTACCCAAATCTAGTTCATTTTAAAAAGTATAGCTTATTAAAAAATACGTAAGTGCTGATTTATATTCGTGAGGGTCTCAGAGGGTGCAGGCCAGTGGATTGGATGCAGGACAGGAAGAGCCACACTGGGAGTGTAGAATTTGAAGGCAGTGTTGCAGCTTTGGAAAGAGATGCGAGAAATGGGAAGGTGGCCCACGGAAGGCAAGAGCCTGGCCTGACTCAGTGGCGGTGTGCGTCTGAGAGGTGGTGCTGTCTGCCCTCCCGCAACTGAGTTTTGTGCAGGCAAGTGGGAGGCCTGGGCTGAGGGGCGAACAGTGACCCTCAGGGCCTGGGGCGCCTCGCTCCTCGGGCTCCTTCAGTCTCTGGTCACCTCCGTTTCCCTTCCTTTTCTAACTTTTTGCCTGTTTATTTTGAGAGGGAGTAAGCTGGGCTGTTACACAGTGTTCCAGGTTCAGAGCCACCGGGGCTTGTTTGAGGAATATGTTAACAAATCCAGTCTGGGCTCTGATCGGTCTGCAGAGGGCCCTCATTTAGCTTCCCCTCCCAGGTGCACCAGCAGCCAGGCTGACACCTGTAAAAGGTAGCTGTTGGCTGCGGTGTGGAGATTCCCTTCATGGGTAATTGCCAGGCCTGGCCTGAAAGCCTGCATAATTAGGTTTGCTTTTGCTCTGCACGGACTACTGGCAGGTGGCACACTCTTTCCGGAGATCTAAGGAGTGTCTTAATTTTCTGGCCAGTCAACTAACCTAACTGGTCTGTTGAGATCTCCCTGCCTCATTTCCCCCTGATTTTATGTTTTACCAAAATGATGGCAGCTGGGTGTGGTGGCACCAGCCTGTGAGGTGAGGCACAAAGATCACTGAGAGTTCAAGGCTGGCCTGAACTGCATAGCAAGACTTTCTCAAAAAAAGAAAATGGCTCGTGGCCTTGGAGAGTTTGTATACTCGTCTTAGGGTATTTATAAATGCTATAGTGCAAATCAGTGGCCCCTATGGGTTATTCTGGTTGTTTGTGCTTTAATTTCAATGTGTCTGAGTCTTCTTTCTCTAAGCCAAACCTTTCCTAAAAGTTTTTTTCAGTCTTATTTCTTTTTGCCTTTTGACTCTGCCTAGGAAACTTTGTTTTTGGTATTGGGGATCGAATCGAACTCATGACCTCGGGCTTGCCAAGCAGGTGCTTATGCCACTGAGCTAAATCCCCAGCCCTGCCTAGGAAACTTTTTTTTTGTTGTTTTTATCGGTACCAGGGATCGAACTCACGACTGCCTGCTTGCAAGGCAGGCGCTTACGCCGCTGAGCTAAATCCCCAGCCTGCCTAGGAAACTTTTAAAACATATTCAAATAGTATCATTTGCTTCTCAGAGTTTGTGTTTCTCTAGTAGGTTGTGTAGTGGTTTGTTTACAGAGTACCTAAGAGCCTGGTAAGGGCACGAGCAGTGCCCTGGGGAAATGGAACATTATGGGACCCTTTCTTCCAAGGGCAGCTTGCTGGGGGTGTGGCTTGGATGGAGCCATTCCTGGAGGTGACTTCTTCCCCAAGGTTCCATCCAGTTTTGTAGCCGGATGGTACTCAGCAGGCCCATTCTATTTCCTAATGACTGGCTCCTTTCTTTTCTCTCACTTTTAGTATCCAGCCTGTGTATGGAGCACAACATCCTCCTTTGGATCCTCGACTCAGCAAAAAGTAAGTCAGGACATTTTTCCTTATTGATATGGTTCCCATCGTGTTGCCCAGATTTGCCTTCAACTCCTGGGCTCAAGGCCTCAGCCTGCCCAGTGTCTGGGATTACAGGCCGCGTCAGCCTGCTTGGCTGGGGGACCTTGTTTTGCTGACCACTTCGTCCCTTAGCACCCAGAAGAGCGCATGGCACGTAGTGGGCGCTGAGGAATGGGCACTGATTACAGAATGAAGGGATGAAAAGCTTCTCTACTTAAACAACAGGCTCCTTGGTACGCACCTCGGGTTAGCCCTCCTCAAGGGAGCCCCTTGTGTGATATGGGTGGGAAGCAGCCCTTACGTAGTGTGTTAATCAGCTGTTTGTCACTGTGGCCGGGTACCCAAGAAAAGCCCTAAAGGAGGCTGAGGGTCACCTTGGCTCAGGGTGTCAGAGGCTCCAGTCCATGGTCAGCTCTACCTTTAGGCTGTGGTGGGGCAGAAAAGCACCATGGCGCAAAGGGTGGCCCAGGAAAGGTTCTTACTGTCCGCAGCTGGAGAGTAGAGAGGAGGAAAGGGCCCTTGGTCCAGGGATGAAGGTGGGAGCCCGGCCATCAGCCTGCCCCCCTCCCCCCGGCACACCCCAGCATGGGACCCAGAGCCTCAATCTATGAGGCTTTGGGGGACGCTTCACATGCAAACCTGACTCACAGAATGCACTGTGTTCCGGCCTCTTGTTTTCTTTGTGGTACTAGGGACTGAACCCAGGGCTCCTCCACCTGTGCTGGCCAAGCAGCACTCCTGACCCAGTCATGTCCTGGCCCCACGTCCTCGGGTCTGCTGAGTGGAGACTCTGGTCTGCTGGACAGTCCCCGGGCCCTGCCCTCGCCTTGCACAGGAGCTGGGCAGTTTCTCACAGACCCTTGGTAATCCCTGTGACATGTGACATGATCGGGCGCCTGCCTCCCTGGTTCTGATGGCAGGACAAAGGACCTCCGAGGCAGGCCTTGTGGAGAGATTTGCTTTTCTCCGCTCATTCCATCCGTTTAGCAGCCGCTGCCTCTTTCTGGCTTTTTCTTTCCTTGGAGACAGGCCTATGGGCTGATCTGAGATGCAGGATCCTCCCGCCTCAGCCTCTCGAGCACTGGAATTAGAGGTGTGAACCCTACACCCAGTTCGCCTTGGTTTTGACTGTGGTTACAGCAAAGTGAGTTGCAGCTCACCGGGATCCCGAGGGACAGACCCAGGCTGTGTGACGCCCTTGCCATGGTTCTGATGTCGTGGTCTTTATTATTTAAGCATCAGAAGCTTGAAATACTTGGTGGCAGAAGCATTCTGATCCCAGTCTCTTTGCTGACTGCAGAGAGATCCCTCCTAGCACACTTTATGGGTGCACTCGGTGCACACGTAGTTAACATATGGATCCCCCGGCCCACCGCTGAGCAGCCAGTGGGCTCCCATCCCATGTCCTTTGTCTGCCCCCATCCTCCGCCAAGGTTGCCCTGCTCTCTGCTTTCAGGATGCATCTTCAGAAATGTCTCATGGTGCAAACAGCCAAGGTACCTGTCTGGTTTCCTCACCTGTTGCAGACTGGCCGGCCTCTCCCCATTGTTGTGACAGCTGCACTTGCCGGAGGCGACATCATGAGCTTGGTGGGCGGGGAGGGGTTTTTCCTGGAATTAATCCTGCCCTCTCTCACGTGTGCAGGGGTTTGGTATTAATGCTTCACAGCGTCTCGCTCTGCCCCAGACCATTTTGCAGTTCTAGATTGCTGCTGTAAAGTATTTATTGCCCTTATGTTAGTGCCTTGGGACATTTTTATTGCTGTCGCTACTACATGATTATTGTTCCACTTGGTCCCATCGTTAATTACCAGGCAGCTGATCCCTGTCATGGCGGAGGCCTGGTCGTTGGTCCTCAATTATCGAAGGGCGCGGGCGCCGTAAGTCATTAGGAGCCTGTATATATTGACTTCAGTGTGCCGGATTATTACTATTAGAACATCGCCTGCAATCATTTTTACCACTCTGATAAAACTGGTCTGGTTGCGAGCTGCCCTCTTGGCCACTCAGTGGAATGATCGGCTTCTTAATTGATGTAAAGTATGATATAATCTGACCTCTAAGTTAGAGAACTAGTTCTCCCGGAGCCGGAGCCGCACTAGTTACTAAATAACTAGTCTGTTTGAATGTTGCTTAACTTCTCCCATTGCTTCACATCTCTTACTGACCGGAGCCGCGGGAGACAGGAGACCAAACTCGAGCAGGATCAGCTCTCAAACTTTATTACGTACAGCGAACCGGACCTGACAAGGTCCGCCACCCTCGGTGTTGCTTCCTCTTCCGCCGTTGGGGGGCAGGAACAACCTCTTATAAGGGGAAGCAGTATCCAATCACAGAGAAGCGCGCCTAACAAGCTGATAGGCTAGCGTCACGGGTAACTGGGCAGATATGACAATTTGGCGGGCTTGTTCAGGCCAGGAAGAACCCGGAAGCAGGAAATGGGCGCCATTCATAGGCGGCTTCCCACATCTCCCCCTTTTTTATTTATTAAAATAGGATGGTCTGTGGGTCCCTCCAAGGTGTGTATGACCTTGTTGCTGTTAGACACCTAGGAGTGGGCCTACCTTGTAGGCCGAGGCATGAGAGAATGTAGAGGTCTATACCCTGCTGTGCATCACCCTGTTTTGTGCATATCCTTGCGCCAGGACCATGCTCAAGGTGAGTGGTTCATTTTTTCGCAGGGCCAGGCTTTTGTGAACCGAACCTGGATGCATATAGACATTCATTCCTGCCTTCCCCCCAACCTTTGGGGCGGATGGCACTGCAGTACCCTTGGTCTCGCATCTCAATGCCAATAATTTGACTCCAGAAGGGACCCCTGGCCTTATAGGCCATGTATATCTGAGTGGAGCCTGTCTTAGGTTGACCGGGAGGGCTTTTCCCGTCTTACCCGTCATTGGCTTGCCCACTCAGCTCTTATAGCTGATGTTCTGCAATGTGAAGGAGATATGTGGCGGCCTGCTGGCCTGATGGGCCACCTGCTGCCATTTGCATGGCTGCCATAGCTGTGATCTTAACCTGCTGCTGAGTTTGTATGAGGCGATCTAACAAGCATTTAATAACCACAAGCCCTACTAGGATAGCCATGGCAATTAGGATCCAAAAAGAGGTAATCGTGGGACAGAAGGAAGAGAAATGGAGGGTCGACCGGAGTTAAGCGGGTGGGTCATAATCAAGGACTGTTTGATTGATGGTGTAAACCCTGGGTGAGGCGGGCGAGGCCACCGAAAAAGGTGCCAATGTGGGCGGGTGGTGCCAAGGACCCCAAAGATATTGTGGTGGTTCTGTGGAATCTGAGCATGATTAATAGGAACCCACAGAATAGAAAAAGCTCCAAACCAGACATTTTAGTTTGTAGATGGTCTCGGGCGCTGAGCGTCGGTCCCAGAAGGGTCGAGTTGACTTGTGTCCACGGGCTTATCCTCCTGTGCTTTATCAGGAACTGGTGGGGAGTTTACTGCTCACGTCAATCTTTCCGGGACCCACAGCGGTTCGCAGCCTGGTTCCTGTGGGAAGACACAAACCGCACCTCGGGTCCAGCTAATCACTGGATCCGGGCCCATCCATTGTCCTGTAAGGACATCTTTCCATCTAACCAGCCCTTTGTCGGTTGGGGACGGATTGCTATGTTCCATGGCAGGGGAATGATTATTGTGGTTTAAATTGAGAAAATTTATGGTAAAGAGTGCCAATGATATTCTTCCCTTGGGCGTTAGGCCGTGGCCACCCAATTCACGGCACAGGCGTGTCCACTCTTCTAAGGACCTATTTTTGTTAGTTCTTAGGACATCACGGCACTCCTTAGTGCACTGTTCAAAAATCAATTGTTTTATGAGAGGGTGAGCCGCCTCAGCATCTGGAAAAATCCTGTTAGCGGCCTCAAGCATGCGGGCCACAAAGTCTGAAAATGGCTCTCCCTGCCCTTGTATAATTTTTGTAAGGTGACCCGTATGTTCTCCCTTTCCAGCCAGCCGTCTCCAGGCCTGGAGGCCACAGCGGCTAATTTGTTCATAAACCTGGCGAGGGTATTGAGTTTGATCTTCCTCAAAGGCTCCTCGCCCTAATAGCATATCCCTGTTCCACTCTCTCTGGTTATTTTCCCTGTTGGCTGCCGCCTGCTCCACACAGAATTCCTCATTCCAGGACTTCCAATCTAAATATTGTCCGGGGGAGAGGCAGGCGCGTGCCAGCTGGGTCCAATCTCCAGGAGTTAAAAGCAGACCTGCCAATGCCTCTAAAAGCGCCATGGTAAATGGCGCATTGGGCCCATAAGCTGAAACTGTGTCCTTGATAGCTTTAAGTTGTTTAATTTCTAAGGGCTCATAATATCCTCCTCCTCCCCTGCCTCCTACTTGTACCGGGAATGCATGGAGACCGGAACACTCAAAGGGAAGCCGCGACCATACCCTCTGGTGGAAGGAACGTCCTCCTCCCTCCCCAGATGGGGGCGCAGAAGGCAACCCAGGAAGTAGCTCTCCCTCTAACCAGGGCGGTGCCATAGGTTGTGGTGGCAGCCCAGGGAGCAACTCCTCTTCCGGCCACGGCGTGCAGTGGGGCCTGGCGCCCTGAAGGGAGCGACCCTGGGTCGCGAACTTGCCAAAGGGCGGAAGGGCTTAAGCTCTTCCCGTAAGGCGGAGTAGCTCGGGCAGGGTGGTGTTTGGTTCCCCTTTTTATCTTCCCGAGCCCTAAGTTCCTCTTTTAACGGTGTAGGAGGGTCATGCTTAGCAAAGACGACCTCCTCTTCTGAGCCTTCCGAATCTGAATCAGAATTAGAGCCCTGAGGGTCCTCCGGAGACCCACAATCGGCAGTGGCTCCGGGCTCCTCTGAGCATTCCGATCGAGCTCAAAAGCCTGTCGGGCTGTATTAGCGAAGCGAAAGCAAAACAGATGCAAAGGGAAAAGAAAAGAAAAAAAAACCGGCGTCCACTCGTGTGGCGCTCAAAATCTGTTAGGTGCGTCCACCCAACC